AAAAATTTTTATTTTTAACGTTCGAAAATAATGAGAATTGAGTGGTAACTGGTAAGTAAGTGTAGGTTCAAATAATATCGAGGACTTTAAACCTTTAATCAAGAGATCATTTTAAAATGATGTCTCTGTCAGCCTTTCGGGGGAAATTTTCACCTACTTAAAACCCAATAACCTGTATAATAGACAAAAAGACTTTCAACAGAGAAAAAACGAATAGTACAGAAAAAAATTAGTTTCAAAAATATAAACTGAATGATCACGTTTAGACTTAGCAGCCATCTGACAGCTTGTCAAACCTAACAGTTACCTCCTCAACTCCCAGTCAGGGTACCCCTGTATAACTTGAATAGGAATCCCTACATAGCCAGCTCAGTACTTTAAGTCTCTATTAGTTATTACTGGTTAGTTAGTTATTAGATTTATTGTGTATTATCCTGTTAGGATGGAACAATTAGTGAGTTCTCCACGGCAATGAAAGCCTAGGTTTCTATCTTATTCTGAAGACAAATTTAAAAGTTTTGAACATTTAGCTATTCTGTAAATCACGTTAATCTGCGCATGAAACTGTTTATGTCTCTATATTGAGAGTTGCATCGAAGTCTGGTATCCATATACAGTATGAACTATAAATACTGAATATTAACTGAATAGAATTGTTCTATATGTTAAAGAAACTCCTGTAGATTTTTAAAAACTTTAAACAACTTGTCTTTTCGTGCCATGTCCTAGACATCACAGTCGATAAGCGTTCCTTACCTTATTATATGAGACATATTTATGTTCGACTTAATTCCGGTGACCTAAATGATTTGGGAATGAAAATATGGGAATTTTTACCGAAACATTTCGTACCCCAAATTAAATCATCGTAGTTGGGGATTTTTTTCCGTCTCCTTATTTTACAAAAATAAAACCCAATATTTGAGAAATTAAATTTGAGCCTTTGAAAGTTAGCCTCAACTTAACTTATAATCTTCCAGAGGATATAGAAGACCGACAGTGTTATCTTCCACTATACTAATCCCGAAATTTCACCGCCGTGGCCAAAAAAGTAGTGACAGAGCTTGCTTATTTTTAATGGAACGTGTCCAAAATCATTTTTAAAGCAATTCATGATCAAATACTAGTGTTCATTGATTGTTTGATGAATCATGTTTAGAACTTACTATATTGATAAATTGATAGTAAATCGATAAAGTCATAATTAAGGAAAATACGTGAAAAATAATTTGGGGAAAATAATGATGGTGACCTAAACTTTCTAATTTCTATACATGTAGATTGTAGGCTTTCTGTCGATATCGACTGTAAGTCTGTTTACCGTCAAGAAGCTTTAGAATTATTTTTCAATCTGAATCTCTAGTTTTAAGGGGTGTAACACTGACCCTACCCCCTTCCCCTCCCCTACCCCCTTCCCCTTCCCTTCCCCTCTCCCCTTCCCTTCCCCCTTCTCATTCCTTTCCCCCTCTGTAAGCCCTAAACCCCCACCAGGTACTAGACGATATGTCCGGCTCAATGACCGTGTTCAAGCAGCAAGTGGTGACGTTTGTAGAGCAGAAACTGTCCGTACCTGGTCCGGGAATCACTGTTCAGCTGACTGAACTTCAGAACTTCCTGTCCGTACTGATACCTGACGTCAACAAGTTCCTTGATAGTTGCCGCGCTTTCCATCAGGTAAGATTCATTGTTTCAATATTTAATTTGCAGAGCACTGAGTAGAAACCTTGTTTGGCTGGCAGAACGGCTGTCAGGCCTTTTGAAATGTTTCTGGTTCCTTTGAATAATAAATTGGGATATATATTTAAAATTTAATTGGTTTGGTAGATGAGAACTAAGATATATCTGAAAAAGTATGTTAATGTATAGGTACAAAGAAACAGTTACAATAATTTTAGTAAAAACATAATCGGTTATGTTAGTTACTGAATCTGTACGCTAATTTAGTTCAATCTAGAACAAAACAAATATTCAAAATAACACTACAAACATAAATATAGTTTATAAAACAGTGGTTAAGTTTACCACTTTTTAATATTATATGTGCTGTCCAGGTAAATATCTAGAGATGAGTCCAAATTGAGATGAGCTTTGACGTAAAGTTTTCTGAGTCGGGGATCCTTCCGAACACATGGCAGTCCTTCTAACAATACCTTGTCATTTATTGCATCGTAGTACCGGTCATGTCCTTTTATGTAGACATGGTAATCTCTTGATTCGTTGTACACCAGTAGGTTTGGCCTAAATGTAAGATTTACGGTGGTTTGAATTTTGACTATCATGTCCATTTCACTAGCGACTGAGTTCCCAATATCTCGGATGTTCCTCACTTTTCCTGTAACATGATCCTTTTCCCCTATTTTTCTTAAATCCTTCTCTTCACCATCTGGATAAACTTTGACAACTGGGCAGTTTTTTGAATGATTCCCCCAATCTCCTTTCTGACAATACTTCTGCTGCAGAGCTGCAGTATCTCACCAAGGAGCCCTTGCCACAGGAGCCGCACACTTTACTTACCAAATCGCTCATTCTGCAAAAGATTTGTAAAATTCTATGTAATACTTGATATACTGAAGTCGATCCTGACTAACATTAACCAAGAAAGGAGAACAGAAACGGCTAGCCACTATATGAAAGATCGTGTCGCAACGTTACTTGGTAACATTTATTGCTGGAAACAGGTTATCATCAGGTGACACACAAAGGAGTACGAAGGTATTATCTGTTATAGATATAATAATGCCTGAACAACACTCTACGTTATGAAAAAAATTGGTAATATGATGCGCTTAATATCTTAGTTCCCAAAAATTTGTGTGCCAAATCTTCTGGGTTAATAAATTTGCATACCACAAATTTGGGCAAGAAATTCGGACTTTTTTGGGCGACGAATAATTAGGGCATTCATTTTTTAGAGACGAGGTAATTTTGCTCTCTAATTAATAATATTTTATCAGTTTTGGAAATCAGTAAATTATCATACTGAAAACAAATAGGCAATAGTAGCTTATTTAGATTTATTAGTGTCGAAGGCAGTCAAGCAACTGGCATTGAAGGCAGTAGATGGCCAACTTATTGATTTTAGGAATAAATACGAATATAATTTACCCGTGCAAATAATTTATCAAGGCAGGATAACTCGTTGATTCCTTCCATTTTCCATATCAAACCACAACCATTGGTCGAATATGCTGACCAGCATACAGTTCTTTGATAAAATCCTTCTTCCCTATATTATTGAGTCTGTTCGATAAACCTGACTAGAAAGCACTATTTATATGGGGTGTATTTCGAGCTCGACAGTCAACATACAGAATTCATAAAAGATTTAATGGTGGCGAACAGAAACTTCTGGTTAAAATGACACTACACTTCCAACCACTCTACGTAACCATTATTGGTATCGCTTCAAATGCGTAGCAAATACGAAACTGTAATTATTTATCTGTTTCAGGAGTGAGTCCCTCTATTCACTATAACTTTTTTATCTAAGATTTTTGATTTTATTAGGTTCGTGAATCGTTAGTTTTGAGATAAATAATTGGATAGAGTTATTAATTTCTATCCGTCTTATTTTATTGCCATACAGATAAAGCACTCTAATTACACAAATAGGAGAAGAAGCTACAGACTTCGACAGAAACATTATATGCCAGCCATTGCGTATTGTAAATTTAAGCTTTCCAATAGAAGTGAAACATTTTTCAAGTAATATTCAGATTTTCACTGTTTCTTTGAGCTCACTAATTCGTGAGTCATACTCATTATGAAAATGTTTTCTATCCGAAATTCTCGGTTAGTGTAGCATATTGAAAAATTGAGTGCTCTAAATTTCTCGATAACAGAAGAAGCTACAGACTTCGACAGAAACATTATGGACCAGCTATATTGCGTATGGTAAATTTGAAATGAAAGTGAAAAGTTTTTGGATTATCGTAAATAATTTCAGTTTTTCTTTGAACGTCCTAATTCCTGAAATAAACATGGATTGTTAAGATAAATTCTATTAAACTGAGCTACTACTGTATGCTAAACATGGGTAGACTATTGAATGGTCGAGGGTATTATAAATATAAATATAATTATGTTGTGGTTTCCACTAACCAATCAGCTTAATTGGTTAGGGTTACGATTAGGGTTAGGGTTAGTCTAAATTGTCATGTTGGGTTCAGTTGTCCGGTAGCCGGTTGAGTAGATATACAGATCCTCACAGTGAACTGCTATTGTCACATTGCTAAACTATGTTTCCAGGTACCGGTGTCCCAGCTGAAGAATAACTTTACGGCAGTTTGTGACCTGGTGTCCGCGATACAGTCCTTCTCCGTCCACCACCTTCACTACGCTCCCAACATCGCTGCTAGTGGTAATTTACCATCTCTACCTAGAATAGTCCTTCTTAATGACAGCTTTCTTATTTACAGACATTATTCGGAATATGTATTATCTGTTTTCCAGTAACACCGACCACAGTTGACTAATAAATTATAGAACTTAACCAATATTTATAAACAGTTGACCAATAATAAGTCACACAATTTAACCCCCCCCCCCCCCCCCCTGTCTTCAGACGCATTTTTGTGGCTTGTAGAACCGGGACATGTGAACCACCTCTCTTCCACTGAACGGCACTTTACTGGACTCCTAGCTGAGATCGAGAGAGCTGTTGAAGCCCTGATGGCCAGAAAGCAGTTTGTGTGAAGGAACCAACTTGTTCTCTAGTGAAATGAGATTGGGACTTAATTCTGTGTCGTTCCTTCCGAGACTGGGTTTGTTATTTCGATACCACCGATTAAAATGTGAATTTTATCTATGTACCGTATTTCGGTAATAATTTGGCTGTTATTGGTTTTTCTGAGCCTTTAAAACGGCTTTGTTACAACCGATTACGTCCCTTGGTTATCATCGATTTAATACATGGAAAAAAGTTAATAAACCCGTAGAACCGTAATCGTATCAGTGGCGTAATTCAAACACCGTTTGTGCTACCCAAGTAACACAGGAGTTCAAGATTGGAAAACATGCGGGCCCTTAGCCTTAGGAAATCGTAGACAAGTAACAAGGAAGCTACGGCATGATTTCTTTTTCGGTGCTGTTTGATTTCAATATTAGCTAATTTTTCTGGACACTCAGCGCATGACTTACGCCATTGAATATTACAGCTTATTTCATTTTTAATTAAATTTTGTTAATAGTTATACTTAAATGGTTTTTACAATTTTCTACGGACTGTATGAGACTTTTTATCGATTTATACTATTGTTGTCCTGATAATTATTACTTCAGTTTCCTTTTTACTTAGCAAAGTGAAGTTTTTACGGGGGCCACCAAATTTCAGACATGATTGCGACTTTTTCGACATAATAAACGATAAAATTTCGATTGTTAATTTGCTGGCCAGATATTGCTATCGAATATAATTTACTAGAAACCCGCTACAGTACTAGTCGAAAGCTTTGTTTAAAAAAGTTATGTTTTAATTTCTCTTCATCATTTAGTAAGCTCTGTTGTACTGTAGAAATTAAGGATTTTATTTGACAATAACGACTACTTTGTAAGTATTTGGATTCTCTAAACGACAAGTTTTCAAAATAACAATCACAATATCAATCACAACCCAAGTTATGAATAATTATAGTATACTTATAGCGTGAGCTTGTCCCCGCGTTGCCAAGGAGATTTCGTCAAGTTTAAAGTATAGTATACTTATAGATTTCGCCACTGGCCAGTTTTAAATTATTAAGTTATTAATATTATTGATTAGATTTGGTATTAATTGTTTTGAATTCAATGTCCATTGAGCGATTCGAAAAAAAAAAAAATTGTACCATTAATTTGTTTGTAGATTTGGTTGTTTAAAGAATGGTATTACATTTGCTCGATTTCAATTAATTTCATGGCAATCTCATTTTGTTTTTGATGATAAGTACGGAAAGCTAAATGTTTGTTTGATCCTCGGTTATTTTAACATTGTGTCTGTGATAACACACTGCAAAACGGAATAGAAACTAAATTTTTTCAATCCTAGTTGATCAGTATAAAATCACATCTGTAATTCGTTCAGTAGATTTTTACCAAATGCATGTTGCATAATGATATATAATTCACATCGAGTTCAATCCATGTTTGACCGTTTTCCCACCAATTTCATATTCTTGTACTTAGAGTTCTCTTGGAATTCTCAAATTGCTTGTTTTAATTTGTCGTGTAGATATCAAGTTAATATCAGAAAAAAAAGTCGCTGGCTGTAAAATTGCCCATGCTCTATATATATATAACACAAAGAAAACTGTCGATCTTCGGCTGATCTCATAATCTTAGTTCAACTCGTCGATAATAAAACCTTATCGTCAGTTCCAACTTCTAAGACAGCAAAATTTTAAGCCACTTGATTTTATACTTACATATTGAATGAATAAGAAGTTTTTCGACCTAAGTTTTGTGTTGTTATGTAGCTCAAGCACCCATCTATGAGAAATCTGTGCCCTGTACATTTGTATTGGATTAGAATCTACTAGTACTTAACATTCACCTGATGCTAGCCTCATGCAACCCATTCATTAATAACGATATTCTTCTCTATAAGCAACCGCTGTATAATTAAGAGGGCCTGGAAAAATCGTCAAAAAATGAGGTCCAAGATTTTCAAAATTGAATAAAAAATCTTCTAAGGCCTATCTCAAAATTCAGCTCGACGGTTATCTTCTAAATGATCCATAGAACATATCCTGAAAGTTTCAGGGTGATTGCTCAAAAAATGTAGGAGAAGATAGATTTTTAGACTCGATTTTCAGGGCGTGCGATTGAAAATCGCTCGCGCAATACAATTACACATGAGCGCTGACCTTTGACTGGCGATAATTTTGGCTAGGAACAATATTTTTCCATGAGACCAAAAGCAGCTGATAGATATCACTCCCCTCTATCAGAAACAACTATAAAATCAATTTCGAGAGAATTTTGATGAAGACCCCCCGGCCCCCTTAACCACTGTTTAAACTATGTACTAACAGCTCAATTAATTTGTAGTGCTACATTAAAAATGAGTAGTTTCTATTTCAAATTCAATTTTCCAAAGGCGAAATACATACCACTACCAGTTGAGAATGGGGATTGAGGAGTTGTGTTCGGATAAAAGAGGTTGATTGCACTGATACAATCTAACCTCGCTATAATTTGTATGCAGGGAGCAGTTTGTGCTGCATAATATTTGAAGCCATTTATTTATATCATTAAAACAGTGAAGAGGTATAGTAACCTGTAACATGGGTATTTTTCCAATCCATATCTGTTTAGAGGACATTACTGAGGACGTCCGCCAATATCTCGGATTTTCAGACCCGCCTAATTTGAAGACCCCCTGCCCCCTTATTATGAAACCTCCCGGACGTCCTAGACCTAAGTACTAAAGTAGATGTTACTTACTAGTTATATAAACTGGCTTGTTACAAATTGGCCAAACGTCATCTTCAAACAAAATGGTTTATCATTTATGTAAACATATACCGTGTCATCAAACTTAAACGATTCCTGAGAATATTACACAGTTAAAAATTATCCTCGTCGATACTTGGTAATAACTTACAATAACTACTCACGTTGAAGCTGTCAACGTGAAACAATGAGCAGTAAGATAAAATAAACATTGTCATCCACATGGAATTTTAGTGAACTTAACTTTTACGTTTTTACGGTGGTGACGTAGATTTAATTCTCTAATGACATGTTCAGAAATGCGAAATTATTATTTTACTAATCGTACTACACGAAGAAGCTTTGTTTTATAATTTCGCAGAAAAGTCTCGCCTAGATCGTGTCTTTTAACTACTTTAGTTGCAACGTATTTCAGGAACTGGCAGAGTAACCTTCGCTTTATCAAATTTTTCTGACTTTGACTCGATATCATCATTTAGAATCTCAAAGGAAGTTATACTCGTCCGTCTCAAAATTATAAATCTGTCTAAGATTCATAGCATTTTGTAACGTTTCAGTTGGATTCTTAAAAATTTTGTAAACGCGAACGTTGATCAACTTAAAGCAATTGGCTGATCTGAATATTTCAGTAAAAATGTTTATGTAGCGACCAGCCTATCATGAAGATAACAACAATTATCTTAACGGCTCTTTTGTGTTTACCCATTCAAGGTAAATGTTGCATTGCACCACCTTACAAAAGAAATCATTATTTACTGTTCTAACTCATTTCTACTGATTGTTTGCATATGATATTGACCAGAATTAATAGGCTATATGTGACAATCAAATAAATTATAGCTATAATTATAGAAACTGAAAGTACTATTACTAAGTGCTAAAACACTATATAATCTATCGTGGTTATATTTCAGGTGACATTTTACCTGCAGTAGATAACGAGATAACACCTGTATCCGTCTCTATGTCATCAACGTACTATAGCTCTAGTAGTTATGTGGCAACTAATGGCATAGACAAGAATTTATACACACGCGCTCGTACATCATATTCTGACTCTGACCCCTGGTTTAAAGCTAAGCTAGGAAAGACCTACTGTGTAGAGGAGGTGCACCATTACGTGGACTCTAATTATCACTATTACCCGTATAACAAGCACACATGCTCGAGAGATGTGTGTACCTGTATAAGTGGTTTCATCTACACTCACTATCCCACTTGGTGGCCCGTGTCAGTGTACTCTGAGGATGGAACAGTACCTGACAACGCTCCTTCTGATTGTAAGACTGGAGACACAGTGGTTATTACAGGGAGTGCTTATAACTATGTCTGGGTATATGAGATAGTTATCATCGGAAGAGATATAGAGCTCATCAGTCTAGGTACAATTTTATATCATAGACCAATTTCTATCAATTATTTACCCTCGATTCTAAACATTATGACACAAAAGATTTTGTAAATATTGTGTTCATAAGATATTGATGAACAAAATTAATTCATAAATGAATGTTTTTACCCTCTCTCCAATATGAAATGCTCATGAAATACACCCGTCATACTCATAACATGTACATTTTATGGTAAAGTTACAAGGGTGATTTTAGCGGTGTAGATGACTTTGCCTTCGGTTGATGGCGTCAAAACACTGTCAATTGGGGGTCGTTCACATATTACGTAATCATTTTTTGGAACATTTTTACCCCCCCCCCCCTCCGTAATCAGTTTTACACATAGCTATTTTGTCAAAATTACACTAGCGTAATCATTCGGAAACCCCCCCCCCCCCCCCCCCCCTCAACTGATTACGTAATATGTGAACGACCCCTTGTTATCATTTTAAGTTGCTCCTATTCATCAATTTCAAAACAAACTTTTCAAATAAGATATTGTTTTTATAATATTTTTTAAGTGGGTAGCTACTTCTAAAGGATAAAAAATGTTTCAAACAAACTTGAAATAAAGGCAATTTCAATTTACGTAAATAAATAAATGCAATGTTTAAATCATGCGAACGATATAAATTGCACAATTTGTAAATGAACCTTTACCAAAACTTACTTCAGACGTTGAATCAGTTAACAAAGAAGTAAAGAAAGGCTCCACAACAACAATATCCTGTGTTATCATCGGAATTATTGAAACAGCAACAGTAACTTGGCAGACTAGTACGGGACCAGTTCCAGCTGAAAAGTTCACCCCTGTCCAAGGAAGCTTCTCCGGAGGGAAACAGACATCAACTCTTGCTGTTGACGGAACTCTTGTCAATGAAAATACTGCGTACACTTGCAGAGTAACTTCCGGTTCTTTACCTGATTCTAGCCACTCGGATACCACTGTCAATCTTAACGTTTATGGTATGTTCTTTAAACTCCAACTGAAGTTCTTTTGCAATGCAGTTTTTTTGTTTTTATACGATTTTATATATTACAATCAACTTTCAATTTAACTCATTGTCAGA